CAGGAGCGTTACAGCTAGTCCTGCGAGGTTGCTAAAAAACCACAGAATTGCAAGATCATGCGGGATTTAAACAGAACGTGATAACAAGCCTTTATTGGGGTTTTTTTTTCTTCTTTTACCTCGGCTATGAAAGTGTCACAGGTAATGACACATTTTCTTTTTCTAGTTAAGCAAAAGAAAATTTGCACGTCTCTTATTATGAAAGTTTTCGGATGTTTTACACCGTTTCTGTGTTTGACTTCCGATCTAATCAGGCGTTTACGCTTGATTTATGCTTCTCCGTCTGCGTCAGTGCGGAGACACGCAACGCCATTATCCGTCCTTGCGCAGGGCTCCGGCAGGCACGCAAGTACTTACGGAGTCGAGCTCTCTTTTTTAAACATCCGTCAAACGAGATGGATTACGCAAGCTTGTGATTGGCCAGGACGCCGCTGTTTACAGCTCCGCCATTGCGCCCTCAAAAACATAAAGAGAGCCGAGGATAACTAGAGGCAGACACGGAGAAGCTTGAAGAATACCTCGCGAAAAAACTAAAAACATGAACGTTTAATTCCCCCGTGACTGGAGGAGTGAAAAGATGCGCAGCAAGCGTTTTATTTGTGGACGGAAATGACAGGAAACGTGTGTTTAGAGGTGGCGAGCGCATGAAGTGGAGGAGAATGAGAGAAAAATATGTCCGTGTTAAAAGTCTCTTATATACACAAAAAACACAATATAAACACACTATCTTGGACCGATACATGACAGGATACCACAGAACAGCACTACACCCTCTGTTGTCCTGCCGGGGAATTGCTTTGCAACACTCTCCAGGAGACGGAGAAGTATGAGAGCAAAACGCTTCCGTCAATCCGTGCATGTCTGTCCCTTGCAGAGCTGACGGAGAAGCATAAACCAAAAGCTTGACGCGTTCTGGAAGTGTAGCGCGTAGAGCATAAAATGAAGACCTGGAGCATAAATTTAGTGGAGCAGCGTACCACTACACTTTTAGGAAACATCAACAACGCCGGTGGAGACATGCCCATTGACTGTAAGCGGCTATTAGCTGCGTATTATGCTCAGTCGACGTTACACGATGCTCACACAACTCGTGGAAAACTATGGTCAGATCTCTGTATCTTATTTTTTTCCCCGTGTCCTGTCTGGCTGTGAAGCAACAGAATTGAGGTCTCTGTATCCGCCTTCTACCTCTTTACTACCGCACGCACACTCACTCACCAAACGTTAAAGCCTAATTTTATCTTCTTTATCAACATTTCACTATCCTGCGCTACTCAAACCTAAAATATTTTGTAATGCTATTTTATAAACTTTTACTCTACCCTACATTTTTGCAACACTTTTTTAAAATTAAAATAGAATAACTATAATATATAATAAACATGTTCTGCAATATTTATCTCCTTTTGCAGTTTATGATATTGTGTTGAATTGCTATGACATTCAAAGTTGTTTTGTTTTTATTAGCAGTTAGCTTCTCAATCCACTCAGAGCTAATCTGCATTTCTACAAACCTAGGCCATTCAAATACTATCTAGTTTGTGTAAGATCTTAGTTTTTTATAACTTTTACTCACAGACTATTACTTTATATCTGGTGTAGGTGTCAGGAACCGAGTTCAGAAGACCCGTGAAGACGCCAACACAGTAAAAATATATATAAAAAGTCTTTATTGAAAGCAGAGGTACCTGGAGGGCAAGGCTGAGGCAGGTTCAGAGGCAGGCTAAGGTCAAAGTGGCAGGCAGAGAGCAAGGCAGGGGTCAGGCAAAAAACAAGGTCCAGAGGCAAAGATCAGGCAGGGTGGATGGCTGGAGAACTACTGACAAGGCTGTAATAATCTGGCATCTGTTGACTGGATGGCTGGTTCTTTTATAGCAGGGGAAGCAGGTGAATGGGATGAGGCTGATTACAGGAGCAGGTGGAATGAATGGAGCTGATTGAAGCTGACAGAGGTTGCTGGGGAAAACAGGGCTTGGCTGGAGCTTGGTGAGAGGACAAGGTGAAATGAATGAAGGTATAATGAGGAAGTGGAGGAGGGTGAAGGACGGGAGTCATGACAGAAACCCCCCCCCCCCCCCCCCCTCAAGGGCGGATACCAGACGCCCACAGGAAACCAGAGCAGGGCGGCAGGAGGGGTCCTCTTCAGAGCAGGGCGGCAGGAGGGGTCCTCTTCAGAGCAGGGCGGCAGGAGGGGTTCTCTTCAGAGCAGGGGCAGGAGGGGTCCTCTTCAGAGCAGGGGCAGGAGAGGTCCTCTTCAGAGCAGGGGCAGGAGAGGTCCTCTTCAGAGCAGGGGCAGGAGGGGTCCTCTTCAGAGCAGGGGCAGGAGGGGTCCTCTTCAGAGCAGGGGCAGGAGAGGTCCTCTTCAGAGCAGGGGCAGGAGAGGTCCTCTTCAGAGCCTGGAGGCGTCGACCCTTGGACTGGAGCCCCATGGACAGGTTGGGCCGGGACCGGGGCCTCTTGGACCTCATCCGTCGGAGCCGGATGCGATGCGTCCTCCGAGACCACCGCCGGAGCAGGATGCGATGCGTCCTCCGAGACCACCGCCGGAGCAGGATGCGATGCGTCCTCCGAGACCACCGCCGGAGCAGGGTGCGATGCGTCCTCCGAGACCACCGCCGGAGCAGGGTGCGATGCGTCCTCCGAGACCACCGCCGGAGCAGGGTGCGATGCGTCCTCCCGGACCACCGCCGGAGCAGGGTGCGATGCGTCCTCCCGGACCACCGCCGGAGCAGGGTGCGATGCGTCCTCCCGGACCACCGCCGGAGCAGGGTGCGATGCGTCCTCCCGGACCACCGCCGGAGCAGGGTGCGATGCGTCCTCCCGGACCACCGCCGGAGCAGGGTGCGATGCGTCCTCCCGGACCACCGCCGGAGCAGGGTGCGATGCGTCCTCCCGGACCACCGCCGGAGCAGGGTGCGATGCGTCCTCCCGGACCACCGCCGGAGCAGGGTGCGATGCGTCCTCCCGGACCACCGCCGGAGCAGGGTGCGATGCGTCCTCCCGGACCACCGCCGGAGCAGGGTGCGATGCGTCCTCCCGGACCACCGCCGGAGCAGGGTGCGATGCGTCCACCGGGACCACCGCCGGAGCAGGGTGCGATGCGTCCACCGGGACCACCGCCGGAGCAGGGTGCGATGCGTCCACCGGGACCACCGCCGGAGCAGGATGCGATGCGTCCACCGGGACCACCGCCGGAGCAGGATGCGATGCGTCCACCGGGACCACCGCCGGAGCAGGATGCGATGCGTCCACCGGGACCACCGCCGGAGCAGGATGCGATGCGTCCACCGGGACCACCGCCGGAGCAGGACAGATGGAGGTGGGACCCCTGCTGGACATGGATGTGGTGCGGACCCTGGGACCACCGCTGGACATGGATGCGATGCGACCCCGGGAACTACCGCTGGACCTGGACAGGCGGAGCCTCTCAGACAGGCGAAGGTGGAATCTCTGCTGGACGAGGATGTGGTGCGACCTCTGGGACCACCGCTGGACGTGGGTGCGATGCAATCCCTGGAACCACCGATGGACCGGGGCAGGTGGAGCCTCTTCAAAAGGCGGAAGTAGGAACCCCACTGAGCGTGGACGCTGTGAGACTCCTGGGACCACCGCTGGACGTGGATGCGGTGCGCCTCCTGGGACCACCACTGGGTGTGGATGCGGTGCGTCTCCAGGGACCACCGCTGGACGTGGACGCGGTGCGCCTCCTGGGACCACCGCTGGACGTGAACGGGACGGAGGGACTCGAGGCTTGAGCGGCGTAGTTGCAAAACCTGGCGTCTGTGAAGGCCATGAATTAGTAGAAGGTCTCCGGGACTGCCACTGTTGCGTTGTCAGGTACCCGTTGCGTAAGATGGCCGCAGCAGGCCTGGACGGATGAGTGGAACCTCTGCGAGGCTGTGGCCTGATGGCCAGCCGTGTTCCCCAGAACGGTGACGCCTGCTCCTTCTCTAGTTCCACGAAGTCCAGGAGCGTGAGATACTCCATGACAGGTATGAAGGGAAAAAAAAATACTCCCAAGTGCTGTGTCGGCGTAGGGTCAGAGTTTGGCCAGATTATTCTGTCAGGAACCGAGTTCAGAAGACCCGTGAAGATGCCAACACAGTAAAAATATATATAAAAAGTCTTTATTGAAAGCAGAGGTACCTGGAGGGCAAGGCTGAGGCAGGTTCAGAGGCAGGCTAAGGTCAAAGTGGCAGGCAGAGAGCAAGGCAGGGGTCAGGCAAAAAACAAGGTCCAGAGGCAAAGATCAGGCAGGGTGGATGGCTGGAGAACTACTGACAAGGCTGTAATAATCTGGCATCTGTTGACTGGATGGCTGGTTCTTTTATAGCAGGGGAAGCAGGTGAATGGGATGAGGCTGATTACAGGAGCAGGTGGAATGAATGGAGCTGATTGAAGCTGACAGAGGTTGCTGGGGAAAACAGGGCTTGGCTGGAGCTTGGTGAGAGGACAAGGTGAAATGAATGAAGGTATAATGAGGAAGTGGAGGAGGGTGAAGGACGGGAGTCATGACAGTAGGCTTATTTTTGTGACAGGGGGGTAGCATGTAATTACCTACAGGTAATAAATCGTTAATAGAGAGTTTGGAACAAATAGGGACTGTCAACAGTTAGCTGGATAGTCACTGTAAGCTTACCAACTACTATGGCATAGTTTATTATTGGCTAACAGATCCAGAACTATTGTAATATAAATATTGTTTCTAAGTAAAAATGTTTCGATTAACAGATTTTAACCATGTGATGTAAAAATACATCTTATTATATATTAATTTTCAAACAGAAATCTTATAATTTATTGTTTTCAGTTTAAAACTACATATTATGTTTTAAAAAGCTGAATTGCACCATAAAGTACAGCCTTTTTGTTGTTACTCTCAAAGATTACTGTTTTTGTCATCACATAACCTTTCTAAATGTCAAGCTGCATCACATTCATTGTTTCGTTTCATTGGTTCGTTCAAGATCACACCCCCATCTCCTGTTCAGCTCCTCCCTCCCACTGAGCAGCATGTCCTGCACTTCCCTGACTTTGCATTTACTCAGATCTTTTTCAAACCATCTGGTGGTTTCTTGGATTTGTCTGTAGTCTAGCAAGGATAAACAGAGATAGTGCTGTGGTGAAGCCTGAGATTTTCATCGTTCCTGCGATCCGTAGACTTTGGACCATTGCTGTTTGCCTTTGTGATTTCTCTTTTGAATTAAAACATTTCAATCATAGCACATTCAAATAAACTGTATCAGCACAGTTGTTTGAGGCTGATACCAAACTCATGGGTGCACCGAGACTTGCTGCAATGTTCAAAATTTGTAGAAAAAGAGAAAAAAGCGCCAGTCCTTGTAGCTAAACTGGGATAATGTGGTCGCTACGTTTTGATGGTGCATGAGTGCACGCTGCTTGGAATAGCAAAGCCATTTGATTCTTCCATAATCTATTTTAGAGCGCTGACCATCCAAATGTCTTCAGTCCACATGACAGCTTAAGGAATAGTTAGGAAAGAACAGCATTTCCTCATCGTTTTAAAGCTTCAACATTTCACGCAGTTTTGGGGTAAGTACTCCCATGTTTTGCCTTCTTCTCCCAGTGCAGGAACAGGTTTTTCCAACTTCTACGCGATCTGCAGCAGGTGTTCTGTACGGTCTGTTTTATGAAACACAGAAAGTTGTTTCAATGTTGTTTCCTTTGCTAAAGTGTAATGCTTTGTCTCTTGGTTCGACTGGAAACTTTCATTGAATGCCAAACCAACATACTCCTGTCTCTTCTTGTCACTTTGTGTCATAAATGATGAATTCACGTGAATATTTAAATAAGCAAATTTAGTAACATTTAAACAATGGACTCAGACATTGCTTGCTGTGTGATATATTTAAGCAACCACGATGCAGAGAAGCAACCACAATGCACTTCTGAGTAATAGCAATGTCAGTTATCGACGTATTATGGCCAGTGTGGATAAAAAAAATAGCAGGGATGGGTAAAATTCTTAGAAAATCTTAGAAATTATGGGATGATTTCTTTAGCACTTAGTTTTAAGAATTAAACGATACAATTTGGTATTTTGTAAAAAAATAAAAAATAAAATACATAATAATAATACAACAACTTATTTAATGACATTTCACTGAGATTTTTCATTCATAAATTTGAAAGACAAAATAAAGAATTTTTTAAATTTTTTTTTAGGAAAAACAAAATTTTTTCCAACATCAGAGAATACCTGGCGTTTTTACCGCTAAATAAATTGGAATTTCTAAAACAAATCCTAAATTTTTACCCCCTTCCCCCCAGCTTAATTTATTGTTTTTTATCTATCTGCAGTGACACAGTAAAATTCCTCTACTTTTTTTTTTTTAACGCAACCATGTCTTCCCAATGTCGGCAGACGTTCTGACTCCAAGCTGAGTTTTCTCTGGAACATCGTGGTCTTGTCTAATCATAACAAAGATAATCACACACATTGTTGGGCCTCTAAAATGTGTAAAATTTTTCTTGTAAACATTTTTTTTTATTTTACCAAAACTCAGCATTGGTTCCTCTGTGGTGATCAGCTGTTTGTCAATCAGGGGGAATAATGACACATCAGGCTGGAGCTCTCTGGTCTTGCTGCAGCTGGTTTAATCCAGTATTTAGCCGGATTATTTATGTAATAGTTATTATTTTAGTTATTTACTCACAAATTCTGTAGCAACAGACCAGCTTTTACGAGACAGATGCCTTTATTCTGATTAGTTAATTTTAATTATAGTCATTAATGCTTCACTAGTGGTCATATTCTTCTAAAAAGTCACTGGAAGTTTCTAAAATAAACCTTATTATGTGTAAACTCAGCCAAGGATACGGAATCCTCAGATTCTTTATCCGTAGAAATTACGGAAGCATATAGGTGCCACCTACGCAAAAAATAAATAAGTAAATTGAGTGACATCCTGTTCTGACATGACAGTTTTGCGGTTCTGTACAAATATATCATGTTTGTACGATATACTTAGTAATGTAAAAACATGATAGTAAATTACTTTAGAATGTAATATCGCTCTGACTTTATTTTGCGTGGGTGGTAGCTCTACAATGCCATATATATAAAAAAAAGTGAAATTCCACGAAAATATTCCAGTTTTCCTGCATTTGACCCTGTAGGTTTACTTAGAGCTGTTTTCTTCCCTAAATCATTTATTTCTAACAACGCTGTATATTTTATAGCATGTATAATTTTAGGTGTGATAGAAATTTGAGCTTTAATATTTCCTGGAAGGAAAAGAAAGCTCTACAAGGTTACCTTAGCTCACCCTTATGTGGAAGTTTCCATGAGGTGTAACACGACTGTTGCACTGACAGCTTGACCTCTCTGGTTTGATGCCATCATATCAGAAGGTTCTGGCAAGGTGCCTTTATCTTCAAACGGGTCACGTGTCGCTCATTCGTCCAAAGTTTCCCTGTCGGAATTTCTGTCCTTTCATTCTATACCTTTACTTACCTTAAAACTCCCTCCTCTTCATTTTTCCCCTTTTCTTTTCATCTTTTCATTGCTTTTTACACATTTCTGTATATTTTCCTCCCATCACTTGTCTGGGATGTATGCGGGCGGTCCCATCTCATCGTTCGGACAAAAAGCAAAAAGATGACGAGCTACATTTATAACATATCGTAAAAATCAAAAGAATACACATCATTTGCTGCCTTTGGTGTCGGACTTAAGTCTTGTTTTTTTTTTCAGAAATTAGTTTTATTTAAGGTCTCATACAGAATTAAAGGCTTTTGAAGAAATAAACTGTAAATGTCCTGTTTTATAGTTACAACACAACTAATCATTCACACACATTCACACACTAGTAGTGATGAGCTACAGTGTAGCCACAGCTGCCCTGGTGGCACACATACAGAAGCGAAGCTGCAGAGCCCTGGCCCTCTTTGCTCCTCTGCAATAAAACATGCAATGTCAACGCTTAAGTGAGGAAAGCATCTTATCCACCACTGGACCGAACTTTAGCTCAGTGTCTAAAGATGGCTGAGTTTTCCACTTTCATGTGTCCGGTAATTTTGTTGAGCTGAATCCACTTGGGTGTGCGACGTGCAATGTTTACTTTCTGAAATAAAAATCTTTTCAGCAGTTCATGGGATATTTTCAGTCAGAGGCTGGGTTTATGGTTAAGAGTTACTTATCCCTGTTCAGACTCCAAGCAGGATTAAGACAGCCATTACGCTCTCATTGCATTTCAGAGGGAAAAAGGATTCTGATTCTTTTTCCTTCCTTTCCTGTGAGTCTTCCTGCCTTATGTAACATACCATAACACACTGAATTACATAGGCCCCTGTTCTTTTGGCGAACAGTCAAACGTATAGGATTTGGATTATATAACGCTTTAAGAAAAGCCACATTCATCCTAGAACAAATGTATTAGAAGCAGGTGGAACTTGGATTATCTGGAATGTACACCAGCTTTCCCATTCTCTGCCCCCCATTAGGTTGTCTGTGGCATTGACCCTTCTCTCCCTGTGACTGCTGTACCTTCTCGCCCTACTTGTGAGGCAAGAATCAGGAGCCATGGCGCTGGAGAAGCTTGTGCACTTTGGGAAGCAGTTGCTAAGGGTGAAGCCGGTGAACTGTAACTCTGAGGACTCCCGTCTGTCCCGATGTCTCAACACATTTGACCTGGTAGCCCTGGGAGTTGGCAGCACTTTGGGTGCTGGAGTGTATGTGCTCGCTGGAGCTGTGGCGCGAGATAACTCAGGTAAGAAGACATCCCCATGAGTGATAGGACTCTTGTGATAAATTGTTTTAAGGTACTGATCTTCTGCTTTGGCATCCCCTTCCAGGTCCTGCTATTGTTCTGTCCTTCCTGATTGCAGCAGCAGCTTCAGTGCTGGCTGGTCTTTGCTACGCTGAGTTCGGAGCTCGCGTTCCCAAGACGGGCTCAGCTTACCTTTACTCCTATGTGACTGTTGGAGAGCTCTGGGCCTTCATCACTGGATGGAACCTCATCCTCTCTTACATCATTGGTACACATACAGCCAGCTTTTTGGGTTTTCTCTTCTTCTTTCTTTAATATGTACAAGAAATGATCTAAAAAGAAAGAAAGAAGTAGAGAATTTCACTTTCTCTGTGCGTCAGGTACTTCCAGTGTGGCCCGTGCATGGAGCGCCACCTTTGATGAGCTGGTAGGGAAGCGCATAGAGCAGTTCTTCAGAGAGTACATGTCTATGAATGCCCCGGGCATACTGGCGGAGTACCCTGACATGTTTGCTGTTCTCATCATAATAACTCTCACAGGTAGAGAAATGTTCTCGTTCTTCGTATCATTTTTCCTCACGTCCCCTCCACCTTGAGCACGTTGTTCTCGAGGAGTGGAAGTGTAGAAATGCATGTTTAAGAAATTTCAGTTTTTCCATTCGTTCCTAGGCTTGTTGGCATTTGGAGTGAAAGAGTCAGCGATGGTGAACAAGGTTTTCACGTGTGTCAACGTCTTAGTCTTGTTGTTCATGGTGGTCTCTGGCCTGGTCAAAGGCACTTTGAAGAACTGGCATTTGGACCCTGTGGAGATCCTTAATGTCAGTCAAACGAACTCAAGTCACAAGTAAGTTCAATTGTTAGCCTCTTTTTACGCATTTCTTTTCAGAATCGGATGTCATTCATTTTTTATCACTTTTCTTTCCTTGTCTAGCATTACTTACATCCTGCCATCCAAGGAGAGACTAGGAATGGGCGGCTTCATGCCGTTCGGTTTCACGGGTGTGCTCTCGGGAGCTGCTACTTGTTTTTATGCCTTTGTAGGATTTGATTGCATCGCCACCACAGGTAAGTGATGGATAATCTGAGAAAGACGTCAGCAGCTTGTGTCTACAGGTGTTAATCAGCAACTGCATTGTTAGCACCCTTCAGCATGAAGAGCATGTTAATCTATTGTACCATATAACACATGTGTCAGACACAAGGCCTGGTCCGCGGAGCATTTTTATGTGGCCCACGAGATAAATATCAAAAATATATTAAAACTGACCCGCTGGCCGATTTTACTGCAAAGACTACAACTCCCATGATGCTTTGCGGCATTAGCACGGAGCCGAAGCGCCCCCTCCTTTGTGTTTTTTCCAGCGTCTGCTGCCGGTGTCTGCAGCTCCGCTGTCTCGGACAAACTAAACACTCCTCTCACTCAGCGCCGAGTTTACTCAGCTATTTGCCGACGTTGAAGCCCAGAAATGGAGATTTTAACCGCTCAGTAATGTGTTCACGACTGAAAGAGAAAGTTTTCCAACTAACTTCCAGAAAGAGCTGATATAACTCCAGCGAGCAGCGACACGCTCAAATCAGCACGACTCTGTGGCTGCTGTAGTTTTTATTTTTCCTCCCCGACACACAACATTGTGGTCTAGCTGCTCAGACATGTTCAGCAGCACAATCCTATGTGAGCACCTGTTGTCATCCAATGTTGCCATTATTATGATGAAGATGAACAAAACAACAGGAGTCTCCTCCTCAGCTCTGGAGCAGGTGAGTATCACAGTAAACCAGTGGAGCAAACTGAGCTTTAAATATGTTGGTTTTATGCTCTTTTTCTGCTCCAAAACATGAAAGTTAACAGGTGGGATATATTGCATTTTCATTTAGGATAAAATGATATTTTTATTTTGTTGTTGGCCCGTGAGAAAAGATTTAACCTGCAGTAAAACAGGAAGTGGAAAGGCTGCAGATAGATGAATAGAATAGAAAATCCCTTTATTGTTCCTCAGTGGGGAAAGCTAGATGTCACAGCAGCGATGACACTTATTACAGGAGGAAGAAAGGAGAATAAAAAAAGAAAAATGAATAAACAACAAGAAAACATAAATCCTGAATAGATTTTAAAAATGCTGAATATACCACAAGTAATGAATACCACTGATGCCTTTTGTTTAAAATTGACTTGCTCGTGTGTAATTTGGTTATTCCACATTCAGTGTCAATGCAAAAATAAGTTTGTTTCCAAATTAAAATGTTCAAAATTGCATATATGTTGATGAAGAAAATGTGCAAATTTGTCGTCACTTTTTCAAAAAATATTAAGTTTGGCCCGCGACTTCATCCCAGAGTTTCATTTCGGCCCCATGTGAGTTTGAGTTTGACACCCCTGCCATATAACATCAAGATCATCTTAACCAGGGTCTTGGCAAAGTCTTTAGGTCCTTATTGTGAACAGAACTGGGTTCCTTCTTGTGCACGATGATGTTTTTGAGCATGCACACGAATTCTGTAGTGAGGTTGTACTGCTTTGTGTTTTTGGTGGGAGTGCATTCATGATGTGGGGGCCTTCACACAATGTAGTGGTTTGATCAACTCAATACAGGACAAGCCATGCCTAAGCCAAGCAACGCAAAAACACAACAGAATGTGTGAACGTTCACCGTGGGATCAGGGCAAGTGTGCAAAGGTCAAGGAAGTATACAGCTGCTCTCTTGAGTAGAGAGAAGGGAAGGGCCCTGTCTAGGGCTACAAGATGCAAACAGTGCTGTCAATTGATAACTTGGTTCACAGTGTATCTGCCCCCAGGGGGCCCCAAGCAATTGCCTGCCTTGCGTATTGGAGTGCTCCGCTTCTGCGCCGCCTCTTTGCGTTAAGAGTATTGGGATTTTGTGACCTGTAGCTGCATGCCAGGGCATGGCACAGTCATGGACACACAAGATATAATTGTGAGAATCTGCTGCTGATGTTTACAATGTGCTCCAATCCCAATAAGCCCTATCCTCATCATGAAGTATCGCTGTTCTACTGTGGCATGATCTTCTAGTGAGTAGCTGCATCCAAATGCAGTCCGAGTGAGTGATGTCAGGATGGGACCCCAGGTCACATGTCGTAGGGCCGCTAAGACAACGTGTTTATGTTTAGAGCTTAGTGAGGGAACACGGAAGCTCCTTTAGGACTCTGAAGCAGCATCGTGATTGCTTTCATATCAAAGGAAGTTTTCTACAGTTGCAGCAATGTTCTAACAGGCCGTGGAAAGTGTAGTGGGGTCGGAATCAAGTTTCAGTGGGACTTGGGTAAAATCAACAATGTTCTGTTGAGATCTTTGTATTTTGAAATGAAGATAATGAAAAACAATGTTCTGATCAGCTTCCCAAAGGTTAGTAGGAGGTAGGGGCACCATTTTATTGTAGCTGTATTTCCCAACTTCGTTCCGACTGTCTTGTGGGCCTGTTTTACATCAGGGATTGGGCTGGGACAGGGGGGTGTGACATAGTCTGGAGTGGTTTCAAACCTCAGCCTGTTCAAACTTCCATAAGGATTACATAAGAGTAGCAAGGCAGAGAGAAAAGCTGCCCTTTAAATACATCTGGCCCACTTCGGTACGTGGCAGAATGCCAAGGCCTGTGATTAAGGTATGGAGCTTGGGAAGAAAATGTTCGTGGGCCTTTTTCTTTACATTTTACAAATGTGCATCCATGAACACGTCTCTGACTTAATGCACGAGGAGAGCTTAAACATTTCCTCCAACGTCTGGCTCGCGGCCTCCCCCCACCCTTCGCTTTTCTACGTTCTAATAGGCTAAAGTTAAGTTGGCTCTCAAGTGACTGCTTGAGTTTTAGTAATATGTATGTCAAACACACTCATACACACTTCATCAGCAATAGTTCACAGTCATACACACATTCACACATCCCCATCCATCATTTGTTCTGGGTCGGTTTTAACTCCGCCGCAGAACAAGAACACAATGTTTGCCAAGGTTGCATAATCACCCGCAGCTGGGGGCTCGGGCTTATGGGACCACAAGGAATATAAGCTACTAGTCATTTTATTGCACAACGTTACACAAAATATGTCCTGAATACATCTGGTTGTACTTGTTTTCTGTGTGTGCTGGAACTGTGCCACTGTATAAACACTTTATGAATACAGCGGCTGTTAAAGGGATTGCCGGTTGTAGTCCTTCAAATTTGTGAACATGCAAAGCTACGGTCCCCAGATTTGAGTACTTACTGGGGAAACGGGGGGTGTTCTGTGTTGTCTTGCGACTACTGGAAATGTGTCCTAGTTGATCATGACAATCTGAACTTTGTGCAACAGATACAGACTTGCTCTTGCCCTTTTTAAACATCAGAGTATTTTAGTTGCAGGACTTTCTCTTTCTAGAAACGTCTAAAAGTGTCTTGCATTTATTTTGCAGTAACTTTTTGGTTTGCATTGCTTTAAACTGAACTGTGTAAATGTGTAATGTCCCCTGCAGGTGAAGAGGTGAAAAACCCACAAAGAGCCATCCCTATTGGCATCGTTTCCTCGTTGCTGATTTGCTTCGTAGCCTACTTTGGCGTTTCTGCTGCCCTCACCCTCATGATGCCGTACTATCTCCTGGACAGCAACAGCCCGTTGCCTGTAGCTTTTAAATATGTGGGCTGGGGAGGAGCCAAATACGCTGTAGCTGTAGGCTCTCTTTGTGCTCTGTCTACCAGGTAAGCACTCTGTACACGAATCCTTAAATCTGTTCATGTCTGTGTGGCTCTGATCTCACTTCACACTCTTAGAAGATGTTCATCAGAAGTGGCATATATCTCTGAAGCTTTTTGGAAACATTTTTTTTTACCCAAAGTCGAAAAGTTAAAATTCCAGAAGAGTGCAAACATAGCAGCAAATCTTTCATTTTAAAGCATTTTCTACAAAACAAACACTGAATGTTTCTGCTGGTAAGATTTGCTGCCTCTAAGATGGGCTGGTTTTCATTCTTTAGGATAGATTTGGACAGGATTGCACTGACTTTGAACACAACCGCTTCCACGGCACACTTTCTGCGTCACACCCTGTCTTCTTTGCACCCGATACATTAGCTCCCCTTCAACCTCCCCATCTCAAATTTCAACAGCAAATTCCTCTATTCCCAGTCTCTCATCGGGCAACTGCAGAAAAAAAAGCTCTGGACAAACTGTCCGCACATTCTTCTGAACATCTTTGCTCTTGTGTGAACACGACTTCAGAGACACATGTGGACATGCATGTGCACACATAGAAGCATTTGCACACTGTCCTGCCTGCAGCTTGTCTTTTTGTATTTTTAACTTAAGCAGACATTTGACCCCCTTTTTAAAAATACACACAGAGAAAATAAGGTGTGTGTGATTATGTAACACAGGCTGCTAAAATTACAGTTTAGCCAGAGCTCCACTTTCATCATGTTAAAGTTACAGTTGCAGGACGTGCATTTTTACTCATGTAAATCTAAATGTAGTCTAAATGTAAAACTTTGAAGGTCCAGTTAGAGGGGGGTCTCCTAAACTGGAGCTGCAGGTTTTAGTTGTTTCCCTGCTCCAGCACCTGATTCAACGGTTGTTCGGCAGAAACCTGTTGATCAGCTACTGATTCAAATCAGGTGTGCTGAAGCAGAGGAACTTCTACAGACCTCGGCGGAGACCCTGAATTTGTGGTTCCGAGTTGTTTTATTTAACATGTTCTTGCACGTTTCTGCATGTAATGTGATGCTCAGCGTGCAGCATGTTACAGAACTGTGCAAAAGTCTTAAACGCCACTTGGATGGTTTTTTTCTTCTTCAAATGAGCCAGAATTTTTTATAGTAAATTATTTGTTTTTTATTTTTACTCATTTAATGACAAAACATTTACATACCGTGCACATCAATCTCTTCAACTACTTATCTCATACAAAACGTCAAAATGTGACAGACTGCAGGTTTAGTTTTTGAGATGTTTATGTTTGTTTGGCGCAACTGGCCTACTTTTGTATGAAGTGGTTTGCATATTTTGTACAGATAATGTCTCAATATGCATAAAAATAGATACGTGATGTTAGCTACTTGAAAAACTGTTCAGTTTTAATTTATTTGGGGGGGGGGGGGGGGGGCATATATATTGGCAGAGGCGTGACCAAGTCACTGCTTTGCAAGTCACAAGTAAGTCACAAGTCTCAAGTCAAGTCCAAGTCAAAGACAACCAAGTCCAAGTTGAGTCCAAAGTCAATGATGTGGAAGTCCAAGTCCTTAACTTTGAATTTTCAAGTCATGATCAAGTCATCTGTCCAACTTCAATTTAATGATGATAATAATAAATAAATTCCAGAAGTAATGCTTCTTAAAGCTTCATGTGTTTGCTCTAACAGGCAGAAAGAGCAACTGAACCTGATTATAAACAAAGTGCTGCTGCATTCAGCCGTACGAGATCACACCCAGAACGAAGAATGATTTCTAATTTTTGTACAGGTCGTGCCACTTTTGTGCTAAAATATCAAATATGCTCAAGTCTTCTTCAAGTCAACAGATGCAAGTTGATTCAAGTTGCAAGTCTTTGACGTTCAAGTCCGAGTCAAGTCGTAAGCTTTTATAGATTTTATCAAGTCAAGTCAGGTCATTAAAATAATGGCTCAAGTCTGACTCGAGTCCAAGTCATGTGACTCGAGTCCACACCTTTGTATATCGGTATCAGTTAATATCAATATCAGACATTAAGAATTATATTACATCATTAAATTAGATTTTGGTGTAAACAAATGCCGTTACTGAACATCTTTAAAAAAACATGTTTAAAAGTCCCCAAATGATCCAGTCTGGCAACAGAAAAGCTGAGAATCAGATTGAATTAATAAAACTAAGTGCGATCCAGCAGTGAGTCCACGGACTGAAACATTTGCTACAACTGGAAACACCGGGGGACCCAACAAGGAACCCTTAGGGCTACAGAAGAATCTGATGAACGAAGAAACGGGGGAGTACCTGTGAACTTGACTGATTAACAAACGAGGAACAGGTAATAAAAAATATATATAACTGAAAATACTGAAAAAAGAATAAAAGGTCCATTATCGGAATTCCTGGCTAAATTTACCGGGTCTTTGTGGCATGCATGTGTCTCCATTTCACCGGCCTGGCCCAAAAGGAGCATCCAGGCCATTCCAGGAACTAAAACAAAGTATTTTAACGGGATTATGTTTCAAAAAGGCCTGGTGAAGTCGCTGAGCAGGACTCGTGGTTAACTCAAGCTAGTTGGTCACTGATCAGTGTCGAAGCAGTTGCGATATGCTCAGGGGGCTGACTGGGACAATGATACTGGCCGGGAATTTGATACAGACCTAGCGCACTCTAGTTGTTCCAGTCTGAAGTGAATGTGGGTGGGTGGGGTTTGTTAGCAACACAGTAGAATATCTTCCTTGGTATAGGATCTCCGAACGGAAGGGGGAGTGAACCAGTTCTGCAGCCATACTATCGGGAAACGTCCCGGTGCTCCCAATGCCCAGTCCGCCACTGGATATGCTAACGTCTTAAGTCCTGAAAGGACTGTTTATTTTTTTATGGAGACACAATGGCTGAGAGGACCGAGCCATCATTTCTCCCGGTCACTTTTCTCTCTCCCAGAAATTTCCCAGAACTTCCATAATGGAAACACGGCTATAAATGACAATAACCTGGTTATTGAATCTCTGAAGGAAAAATGCAAATGACAGGGAATCATTGCTCAAGCCTACTAAGACTTTTGCACAGTCCTGTATGTTCAGACATCATGTTATCTGCTACACTGACTCTGTACTGTGTTTCCTGTATATGTGAGCACTTGTCTCTGTTAATGTATGTCTCACGGCATTCTCTTGGGTGTAAGTGTGGATACTATATATCCTGGTCTCCCCCCATGGTAGCCTGCTGGGTGCTATGTTCCCTATGCCTCGTGTTCTGTGGGCTATGGCTGACGATGGGCTGCTTTTCAAGTTCATGGCCGAGATCAGCCCCCGCACCAAAACCCCGCTAAACGCAACCTTCGCTTCCGGCACAGGGGCAGGTGAGACACTTAACACGCATGTCTTTAAACAGCATCCATGTCCACTGTAGCCTCTTTCCATGCTTCAGGATTACACTGTGCACAGCTTAATGAGGAGCCTGCGGCATGAGTTTCCCAAACAGCACACTGTTTTCTAACTGCACAGTGGAAGGGAAGTGAAGCAAAAGTGTAATCAAGTGGCTTTAGCATGTGGAGTGTGTGTGTGATGCATTCGGATAATAAAAGTTCCTTGGAGCAGCATCATGTCCTTCTTGCTCTAAGCTTGTTCCAGTTTTCAATCCTTTTGCACGTTTCCCTGCCACATATCTGAAAATGCATTTTTTTCCTTCTTTTTTCTCTATTCTTATTTTTTGTTCAATCTTGCCATTCCTCTTGTCGTTTCAAATCTTTACCCCCAACTGTCACCCAAATTTGACGTGTTCCTCCTCGCTCTACCCCAGTCTGTTGGGTTCCATGTTCCCCCTACCCCGTATCATCTTTGCCATGGCACGAGATGGTCTGCTCTTCTCCTTTTTGGCTCGTGTCAGCGAGAGGAAAGCCCCGATAACCTCCACTGTCGCTGCCGGGGTCATGTCCGGTAAGAGGAAGGGGTAGCACAAAATTAAGAGGGCTCAGGGAAAAAAACGTGTGTATAAGGAGAGGGAAATAATGACGACTGAGGCCTAAAATCGGAAGATACAGGTATGATTTGATGGTTAAAGTTTAACTTAAAAATAAATTAATGGGGAAAGAACCATGAATGAGTAGCGGCTTTCACTGGTAGCCTTAGATTAGTCATCCTACGTTAAGGACTGCGGGGTAATCTGAATTTAGAGAATCAAGTAGATTTAATGGGCGACTCAAGCTGCTGTGCTGTATCTTAGAAGATTTTTAGGTGGCAGAATTGTGGTCTTCTGAGTAGCAGTTAGCCAGCCAGGCAAGCCATCCTTTATATGTGAATCTGGCAATGACCCATAGACAGATCTCAGTCATGCGGCGGGATCAACGACTGTCTTTCAAAATGTCTCTGCATGCTATTGGATAACAAACAATGTGACATGCTCATAGCTACCAACTGTACTGACTGTCAGTCAGTGGAGCAGTCCACCATCCACTCTCGAAGAAGATGTAAATACATCCATTCTAAAAAAAACTTTAAGGGATATTCCACCCAAAATAGAAATTTTGTCTGTTGACATGTTTTCCAGCATTAGATGTCTTTTTGCCTTAGCTTAGCATAAAACATGGTAAGTGAATGGATCCAACTAGCTTTGTGAGTAAAAACTAGGGTTACAGATAAAGCATTTTTGACAAGTACAAGCATAAAACGAGTAAAACCCGTGAATATCTGTGTCTGTGTGGAGGAAAACTCCACTTGCTGTGACTGGCAAGGCACAAGACTGTTCAGGCCTGCTGAGGTTCCAATGGAGCGTGGCTAGACCAGCCTATAGTGTAAAATCATTTTGCTTCTGCTACAGTCTGTCTATTTATAGGCTAGCAGTTAGCTTGAGTTACTCATGCAAACCAGTCTTGAGTAGCAGAGGTACTAAGGCTATCTACACAAGTTAACAACATACTACTCCAAAATGACATTTCTGCGATTTAACAAAAACCGAATGTTCACAACAATTCAAGTAAATACAATATTGAAAATTCTTATATTGCTTGACCTTTTTTTTTATCAGATGTGTTTTCCAACACGAGTGTTTCTCAACACTTCTTGAATATTTTATCTTATGTGGAAATAGTATGTTGGAGCTGTATGCCGTTCAAAATTCATGCATTCACACCAGCAGCTTTATGAAATAATTCACATTAAATATGACTGTGCTAATGCAGGAATAAATAGAAGAAAGTACAGTTACCATCACAAAGATAATCAAAGCACCGCAGCCCCATGATTCTATTATTTTTTGTGATCAAATATCTCTTTATCCACATGCCTCTTATCTTTTCTGTCTTTTCTTTCCCTTTTATTGCATATTTTAGCAATCATGGCATTTCTGTTTGACCTGAAAGACCTGGTGGACTTGATGTCTATAGGTACCCTGCTGGCCTATACGTTAGTGGCCGCCTGTGCACTGGTGCTCAGGTTAGTTTAAACTGAGACTTTTCATTTTGTCTGCACATTTCCATGCACAAACAAGTCAACAACAAGTAGCTAATGCTCATTTTGAAGTAGGTCAACGCAAACGTTGAAACATTTTTCTTTTTTATGATTCAGACTGTTCCACTTGTGATTAAAAGTCATCCTTGGGATAAAAATAACTTAAATTTGTGACGTGAAGGTTTACAATTTCTAGGTTAACTACAGTTATATGAAAATAGTAGTCTTTGTTTAGAAATAAATTACATTAATATGTTTGTATTAATTTGATGCACTTTCATATTAATACTTCGTAGTGCAATAAAATCGCATAACATTTATTTGCAAGTGCAGCAAAAACGTTGAGTTGACACAATTTGTGCAAATGCAGTCTAGAATACGAGATTGCATTGTATTTGCTTCTATTTTTTCTAGTTCCTAATTTATAAAATAATAATTTTGATTAGTATTTTATTTATCAATAAATAAGTACTTCTTTGAATGGCACTTGGATCCTGTAGGACTTACGTCCTCCACCAGAGGGCAGAATTACATGTAAAGGATTTGATCCAGCAGGAGTGTGAAAAAGTTCAAAAGACAGAGCTACCAAGAAAAAGGCATAAAAGACATTAAAAATGTGTTTATTTGGCCTTATGCCATTTTATACTCTATGAATTAAGTTATTGCCGATATGTTTGTTCCAGTTGATATTTTGACTGACATTCCTGCTGCTTCCGATCTTCATAATTTACTGCCTCCGGTTCCAGCAACTAAAATGATGAAATGCGTTACAAGGTAATAGAAAAATAGCTTAGTGTATTTGTGTGTGTGTATGTGTGTGTGTTGTTGTTACAGATACCAGCCCGAGCACCCTAGCATGGTGTACCATATGGCCAATAGCCATGAAGAGGCAGACCTGGTGGATGGCATCAGTGTCCCCAGCATGGGCATCCTGCCTGGTGTAGAGGAGAGGTTCAGCTTTTCCAGCTTACTGTTTCCAACCAACCCCGAGCCATCCTCGATGTCAGGCTTCGCCGTCAACGTCTGCACCTCTCTGATGGGTAAGTCAACAACCACTGATAGAATCCCTGTTGTCATTATGGATTACTGTTAGAATAACGTGCTATGTATGATTCTGCAGGGGTGCTGATTCTGGCCTTCAGTATATTGGCCGTGCAGGGAGGCTTCGTCCTCTGGAACATCATAGCCCTTAGCTTGATCTTCACCGCGTGCCTCGTTCTCGTTTTCATCATATGGAGACAGCCAGAGAGTAAAACAAAACTTTCCTTCAAGGTCTGACTTGGCATGTTTTCTAAAACTATTTGAAATTGTGTACAGGTTATGTTGCTTGTCTGGTAACACAAACACGCTTTTTTAATTCTTTCTTCTACGATGACCCATAGGTTCCCTTGCTGCCTTTCATCCCCGTGCTTAGTATATTTGTCAACGTCTACCTGATGATGCAGCTGGACAGGGGCACTTGGGTTAGATTTTCAGTATGGATGGCTATAGGTAATTAAACATTCTTATCAATCTGACATTCTCAATTTAGGATGTGTACCACGTGCTTTATGATGCTGCTTATAATATGAAAGAAAGGCAAAAATGTGCTCAAATTTTTCATTAAAACACAAAGTTTAGAGCCACAATGTCCAATCTGCAAAAAACCTAGCTTCAAACATTTTTCATACCTGTTAATAACGCTCTAACATATTATGTATATAAATAAATTGTGGAGATTGAAAGAAAAATGAAATAAGTAATGAAGTGGTTCTATCGCATTTGTCTAAAAACCTCAGCCAATAACACGACTCGGTCCAAAAGCAAGATGGTCCTATTTGAACCACCACTCTTCCGCCTTTACCTGGGGCCTCTAATCGTTATCCGCTTGCGTACTTTGCAACAGAACACCACTGGTGTGAGAGGTTGCTACCACTTCAACTCTAGGACAAACGATCAGAGTCCCAAAAAGAAAAACACCAATTGAAGTCGTGGACTAGCCTAGTGAACTAGACCAAATTCTTGCTTTGCAAAGAATGGTCTAGGCATGCTCCATTGGAACCTCAGCAGCTCCTACCAGGACTCTGGCTGGCCAATCACAGCTCTCTAGAGGGGTTTCAAGCACATAAAGAGCTGTGATTGGTCCATAATGGTGGGCCAATCATAGTGCTCTATCTGCTTAGTGAACAAATCACAGAGCTTTATCCGCTTTGTGGGCCAATCAGGGCACTCTATATGCCTGGTGGGTGGGATGATACAACAGAGTGAAACAAGAGTATGTCACATTCATTGTCCAGTAGCATGCGGAGATCATTTGAAAGACAACGGTAGGACCCGCCCCACAACCGAGAGCCGTCAATGGAGCATGGCCAGACTAAATAATACATTTATTTAGTCTGGCTTGCCAGGCTAGTCGTGGACCACAAAAGACCTAGAAAAACTATGACTGATGTTTAACCCTCTTTCGTTTCCCCTGGCAATGCGGGTTCCAGTATCAGGTGGTTGTGGCGTAGGGATGATAGCTAATCGGACGATTTTTAAGCCACGAAAGACCCCACTTGTGGAAATAAAAATCACAGATGTGACAGCTTTAGTCCTACTGTGTGTGACGTCCAACCACACAGCTAAACTACACGCCACACACGACCCAGTTTCACTCACGAATGTTCCCAGAATAGACAAGAAATCTTGTAACACCGCTCAAGATCTAATGTGACTTCAGAGGAAACAAACACAAAGAAGGAGGAGGTGGATTTAGAATCCCCACTGCTACATGCAACGTGCTTCACCTCACTTTCTGATCTGCCACACGTCACAAACAACAGGCTGCACCCCTGATTGTTCTTGTGGTGTACTAAAAATGTTGCAATATCAAGGCAAGAAAATCCAACGTGTTGACTATTCCAGATTTATGACCGGTGTGGTCCCGTCGTGCTTCAGAGCAGACCAGAGCACTCTTAACACATGACGCACGGTAGGAATATCTGATAAGGGTATCTTCAGCAATCAGGTGTGTCTTTGAGATTCTTGGAAGGTGAGAATTGGGTAAAGAATTTGCCGTAAACATCTAGTTGTCTGACAGACAATTTACGAGAAAAGTCCAAGGGCCTCATTCATCAAAATTCATAGAAATGTATTTTCCTTCCTAGGAACGATATTTAGAATATTCGTACCAACGATCAAATTCCTGATTTATGAAACACGTGGTGGCCTCTCGTATGCATGTTCCTCCTGGTGTGTTGTGTCCTCGTTAACTGGTTTTTACTTTGGGCGTGGCAAACTCAGCAAACCTGTCAGGTTTGGCCAATGGGAAATCGTAAAATCAGAGAACAACAGACACAAATACTGGATAAAATAGGAGAATTAGCCAAGAAGAGGGGGTCTGCCAACACTCCAATAATTCAGATTCGCTCTTATAGAGAAATCTGATGGTCACAGCCAATCAGACAAACCTTCCACGTCTGCTGGATTGGTCACTTCTATAAGGGAAAAACAGATAACAAAAACGAGTTCCACTGAAAACTTGTGAGACTTTCAAGGACTGCAGATGATGACCTATCAAGGTGGAATTCCATAATTGATTTACATCAGAACAAAGAACGTGGCAATAACTGGTATGCTATCCACCGCCCTGCAATGTTCTTCTGCACCCTTACCAAACTTTACAAGTTCCCACAAAGATCATACTTGGTGCATTCAAGATCACACCACACCCAAAGCCGTATTTTTTTAATGCTTTCGTACCTCAATGGGATACAGTTACTTACTAAAATATTACACCTTGCTTCAATACATGCAGACCCTGTTTTCCAGAGTTTTAACACCATTATGTTCTTCCTTTGCAGGTTTAGTGATTTACTTCGGCTACGGTATACACCACAGTTCAGAGGCTGCTATGGCCCACTCCTCTATAGACACTGAAATGAACGGCTTCAAGCTTGACAGAGAACTGGACTCCATGCCCACAGAAAAAGAGGCCTTTCTCCACGATGGCATTGATGTTAGGGAAGAAAACGATATGTAGATTTGTAGAAAGTATTGGGACAGCAGGTTTGTTTCAGTTTGCATGGCACTGGTCTGTTTTTGCTCCAGTCAGTCTACTTCTTCATTGGTGGGTCTTTCCTGGTGGAAAGCAACGAAGCAAACCAAACTATCTCTGATAATTCTCACACCAAAACAGACTTCTGAAGCCGTAACTGAAATACTTTGTCAATATTTTACTGGTTATTACCTCTTTTGCTCCCAATTGTTCAACTTGCTTTATTGCCTATGGAGGGAGTGCTCATGTTAGAGACATGAAATGTGTTTATTGTAGGTTCAGAGTTGAGGATTTCCCGTCATGTGGGGTTTTATTTACCTCTTTGGAGTGTGTCTTGGTTACATTGCTGGCAGGAGGACTTTGCCTTAACTGATGTCCATCTGTCAGAAGGTTCGGCAGAAATAGATTCCTCTGTTTTAGTTTTTGTATTTTATTGTTAGAAGTTATTTTTTGTGTGTACATACTTTTAAACCGTGTCAGTACTAGAAGCTGAGTGATAGCAGTGTATACATTCTCTGAAAGCATCAACTCTGATCTGATGACTCAACATTTTGGGGAAAACAATCATTCATTTGGGGACTTTAGCTAATAACAAAGGCAGTTTAATAAAGCTTAGTCTTTAAAATGCACCCACTGGTTTGGATTTGCCCTTTTCAGTTGTATGTTTATGTACTTTTTATCTAAAGCCCAATGAGATTGGTCATTTAAACTGACACAAACAGAAACTCCAGCAGTTTGGAGCTGAAAAATCTTGTTTATGTGATATTAATTTGTGTGTATCTGTTTCAAGTGACTAAAACCCAGCTACAGATGGAAGTATTATGGTCTTAAATTCAATGGTGTGAATGTGACCTGTGATGCTTCAGTGTAAAAGTCTTATTTGGGATAAAGTTGGTCCTTAATTTTAAAATAGGGTTGAATTGATGGTGATTTTCACAGTGCTGGCTGCTGTGTTTCTGCATCTGTAGTTCTGAACACTCAACTTCTGTTTTGAACACATAAGATCGACAAACATTTAATCAACCTTCTTTTCGTAGCGTACCCGTTTAAAAATACACAAACTCTATTTTACTTTTTATTTTACCTTAATGTGTTATAACCCAAAACATATTCATACAATTTAATGTAATAAATAGTTAATCATTAACTACAATATATTTAACCATTAAAGGTATATTCCACCCTTAAGTGAAATTTAGGCATGCTGTAACCAGCCCAGTCATTCGCCTAATCTGGCCGTATTTCGTTAGCTTTAGCTTAGAATAAAAAATGTAAGTGAATGGTAACAGCTAGTATTTTATGAGAAGAAGTAATGAAAATTACTAAAATTATCCTAATTTTTCTTGGTGACCTCAATATTCATATCAATTTCAAATGATGGTAATGAGTGCCATGGAGGAATTACAGGAGCCGGTTTAGACTTGGGACTACATCATGACGAAGCACTGCTGTAGGGCCTGGAATATACTTGTTTTTAACCTCGCATTGACACAGGCAGCAGGCTGCGTCTTTGTTCATATACTTGCTACTGCACTGCACATAGGTCTGGAGTGTTCCACTAGGGGCCACAGTACAGAATGTTTCTTGGGTACAACCAAAACAAACATGGCATCAATAGAAGAGTTCAGTAGCTGGTTTATTTAGAGATCACAACAGAAAAAAAGACAGCAGTGGTTTCATAGATATAAGAAAAACCTAAACCAGAGATGAAGAGACTGTGGCGAGTGTGTCTCGCTTATTTTGTCAACTCTTTCTACTGGTTACTTGCATATTGCAGCTTGAGGATGCGTTGCGTTAATTTCGAGGGACGCGCACAAATGACGCTTCAAATCTATGCAAGTTGTGCGAGACAGCCATTTTAAACATGCGTCCGTCGTTAATCGTTAAAAACAATTATATTTCCAGTCTAAGCCACCATGGCAAGGTGCATGGATATCATGCTGCGGCCCCAAAAGACATCACCTCCACCTGTCATGTACTGTGCCAATTTTAGTGCAACGTTAATTTACTATGCTGTTCCTGAAAAACATTGTATCAGATATAAACCTAGTAGCTATGTGTTTGTGCTTATGGAAGTAGGCGACTTTTTGAATTTGAATGATTGAAATGCTAGCTGTTAATTCTTTATGCTAAGCTAAAGCTAACAGAATACTTTCAGATCAGCAGCATAACTGGGCTGGTTACAAAATGCTTTTTCCCACAAATTTAACTCTGGGGGGTATGGCAACAGAATACATTTCACTTCGGAGTGGAACATCCCCTCAAGGATTTGGCTCAACTTTGTTCTTACATATCTATGAATGTGTGTGTGTGTGCGTGCGTGTGTGTAACAAAAAATTCCAAAACTTTTTGAATTTCACTGTGATTTAGCGGAATCTGCGGTCAATAAGAAAAAACATGTTCGAATAAAGCTGTACATATAAAATGTTGTGAATATTTCTGGCAGTAAATTATTTTTAAATAAAAGCAAAAAGAGCTTTTTGTTATTCTACTTTGCACGTGTTTGTAGATTCTATAGCTTATGTTGTCTGGACGTGACTTTTACACAGAGGATTAATACAAAACTTCCCCAACTAAAGCAGCTTTTGGCTGCAGAATATCTCTGGGCTGCACGGTGACACTGTTGCAGAAAGCAGTTTTAAGGTGTGAATCGCAGCCGTGGTCTTTCTAGATGAGTTTGCATGTTTTCCCCTTGCATGATTGGGTTTTGTCCCCTGTACCCTGGTTTCCTCCCATTGTAGATGGAAAAATTCTGCAAAAAGCTCAAACAGAAACATCTCTGGAACCCACAATGGCTTACTTTTTAACTCTTAGGACTTGTTCTTAGCACATGGAATAAAATCAGGAGATGTCAGTTTATAATTATGTAATTCATTAGTTTAATATCTTTATTTTGAACAGGGTTTTATCTATATGTGCATTGTGGTGAGCAGAGGTTCATTTTTAAAATTGAAAATGATTTTTAATGTCTCGCCTTTTAAAGCTGCTGGTAAACAGAAAGTGGTTTAAAAGAAAAACAAAAGCATTAAAGTCTAAAATATATTTGCAACAATTTTAGTATAAGTTTTCAATTTCTAATCAAACATGTCAGAAATAAAACTATTAGTTATCGTTTCAAGACAAATGAATGCCCAACTGTATCTAATAAGTACACACACATTCAAAAAGACTTTAAAGCCTGATATTTAAGCCTTTATTTGTTATAATTGTGATAATTATGACTTACAGCTTTTAACACCCCCCAAGTCAAAATGTCAGAAAAATTGAATATTGAGAAAAGGTTCAATATTCTAGGCTCACACTAATCATATAATTAACCCTAAACATCTGCAAAGGGTTCCTGAGCCCTTAGATGGTCTCTCAGTTTGAGTTGCATTACTTAAATAAATGGACTTTGGCACCATATTCTCATTTTGTGAGTTTGACTTGTATGTTAGAGCAGTCTGACATAATGACAGCATTTAACCCTGAATGTAATATTAGCTAAATATGTTTTCTGGTAAGAATTGGCCACTTGCAAGCACATTCGTTTAAAAGACACAATGTGACATAACTGTTCTGCAGTGAAAATAAATGTCAAATTTAAGTGGATGAAAATAAATTGTTTTTTGACCATTTTATCAACTTTTTTCATCTGTTTTGCTCATAAATAATTAACGTTGTGGGGGTTTTCACACAGCAAACTGATTAAAGCATCACTTTTGCCCTTGAAGATTTTAATCTGCCTTATTATCACTTTATTTCTCACACATATCAGAACACTGGGGCTTTGCATCATCCTAATTAACCCCAAAATGGCTAAAACTGGGCTTTCTCTGCCAGACTGTCATTTTTGCCAAACATAATTACCCCCACCACAAACACACATGCTTGTGTGGACCTCCACTGACTTCCATTCATTTTAGTGACTCCACAATATAAAAATGTCCAGTTGTGGGTTAAAGTTAAAAAAACATGTCAGTACACACACACACACACACACACACACACACACACACACACACACACACACACACACATCAAAATCTCACTTCAAGACTCTTGCAGAAGTCGGCCGCTCTGAGTCCTCCAGCAGAGGGCGCGCTCGTGTAAAGAGAGGTCCAGCGCACCTGCTGTCGGCTGCAGCATCAGCACCGCTCCTCTTCCTCCTCCTCCTGCTTCTGTCTGCAGTATCCCTCTCCTCTCTCCTGCACCGTTTAAACCAAGCAGAGACTCGCGCGAGGAAGAAGCAGCGCCACGCGGCTTTGTTTCGTTTTGAAACTCCTGCATTTTTCAACAAGCCTCTTCAGTAAATCAGCACCGGAAGACCCTGGAAGTAAGTCTTGTAATTGACAATGCATATTTTATTTTGTTTGGCGGTGATGCTGCGGAGGCCAGGGTCTGTTTTTCTAGAAAATGTGTCACACATAGACCAGCATGCTGTTTTCCATGAGCTCAGATTGCCAGACATCAATCCGATGAGTTTATTATCAAATGTATTCTTTAGAAAAACCGTAAATATCAGACGTGGGTCTCATCAAGGAGGGCAGGTCAAATCCGGGATCCTAAAATTTCAAAATAATTTACAGGATTTTGTAAATAATTTGAGAATTTATTTACAAAATTAAAAAAAAATTGTGTCAAACATCTGGAGCCTGGTTTTAATTGTAGTTCAAATTCATGCAGTTTTAATGGTTCAGAGTCTAAGAACTGCAACATTTTTTTTTCTTTCGGGGGGGGGGGGGGGGGGGTTAAGTTGTGTGAGATTTTCTTCATAATCACAGATTTTATATAAGAGGAAAGCATTAACACCTTTTTATTGCATGTGGTTTCTTTTTTTCTGATGCTGAAGCAGCCTGAGGCGTGTGGATGCTGTATTTCTGAGTGTTAGTCACTCTTGCCATCCTCATCTTCACCTCATCCTGTTGTGATTTTGCTTGGAGGCAGTTAGAGTTTGAGGAATGGGAGAATCGCATAAACGCTGACTCCAATGTCTTTCACACTCTGCTCGTCTCTCCCCCGATTGATTTGTGTCTGATGATCCGGCCGTCCTTGACTCCTATGAGTAAACCCCTCCCCCTCCTTTTTTAAACCCAAACCACTTAGTTTTGTTTTATACTTTCAGCTTACCTGTGATTTTGATGTTGCTTTCCCACGATGCTCAAACATGACAGTAAATATGGTTCTGGTGTCTGCATTGATCCCAGAATCAGAGAGTTCCCACAGTTACGGATCTTCCAGCTTATTTTGTTAAGTCCTGGCATTCCCGTTCTGCTTCAGAGTGAAGATCTTTCTGTCTGGCTGCTGTTATGGATGCTGATTGATTCATTCCAACCTCAGTTGTGTCTGACCTCTGATCAGTTCATCATGAACAACACTCGCAGCACTTTGTGTGTGTGTGTGTGTGTGTGTGTGTGTGTGTGTGTGTGTGTGTGTGTGTGTGTGTGTGTGTGTGTTTCTGTAGGTAAGAAAGCTTGTCACAAATCCCATGAGAATCATGCACCCGTGCAACATTGAAGGATGTTTTAAAGGACAAAAACAGTGAAAAAAGGATGGAGCAGAAGTGCAAATGGGTGAAATGAAAAGAAAAGAAGTCAGGATGATCTAAAACAGAATGCATGTGTGACGTTTTCCCTCCTGTTGGAGATATTTATGCAGCTTTGAATGAAAAACACAAACACGCTGCAGAGGTTTTGATTGCTGTGCTGTGGTGATCACTAATAATTACGCAGTCTGAAGCTATTTTAGGATACATTTGAGTGTTTGCATGTGTGTGTGAGAGAATAAGGTGTCAACACACACACACACACACACACACACACACACACACATATGGGTGCACATTCACAAATTCACGCTGCTTTTGTCTGGAAGGTGGCAATGAGCCCGTTGTAGCTCCTCCCCTGCAGTCATGGGCATGACATCGAAGGATTAAAAGAGAGGCACGCCTCCATTGGTGACACACACACATGCACACACACTCATACCTGTCCTGTAGTTGTCCAACATGATTTTTTGTTTGTTTGTTTTCTTGCTGGTGTGCATCTTTCTGCAGCCATTTTCTGAACATATTCAGGCCTTTTTAAAAACGTTACATCAATAATTTATTTTTCACAAGTTAACTTTTTTGTTATTATTGTCAAATAATTCAGATTCCTCATTAAAAAGTCTTTTAAAAACTGTAAAAGTTGTTAGTCTGGGTGAAATCCACATAACTGATATGTTGCTCCCATCTTCTTCAACGTTCCCCATCAGGTGTTCTCCTGACGAGGACTTCTTTGTCCTCCTTTTTCGCATATCACACTCCTCCTCCTCATCTTCCTCACCTCTCGCTGATCTTTTGCCTGCCGTTCCTCACCCCACCCGCCTGAGGCTTTGCACATTTACAGTACTAACTGGAATATCTCACACCTCCACTCCTTCCTGTCCACCCATCTCTGCAGCATCATTTAACCTTATTTACTGACTTTATTTAAAAACACACCAAATGACTCGGCTTGTCTAAGTTGCGTGCGTCTTTTCTTTGTCTGGGCCGTCTGAGCTCACCGGCTTTTAGGTCTGTTTGCCCGCAGACTGGTGAGAGCAGTATTATTTCCTTTTTTTCAATCTGCAAAGCATCTATTATTCTTAGATAATAGTCTTGTCTTTGTCCCACAGCGCAGTTTCACCAGCCATGCAAGAGTTAACATTTTCCCTGCGACAGGCATTAGGACGGTGGGTGGAGGGGGTTTGCTAATAATAATGCGGCGCTAGCAGCAACCAGCGTGGACAGACACCCTCTTTTCTCCCTCTCCTTTATGCCAGTCTGTGTTTTGGCTGCATCCTTTATTCATTCATAAAACAACAAAATAATAATAAAAAAGAGGCCCTTTTTTAGACTTGGACCAATAGATCCGTATTCTTATAACTATGTCTACGTTTTATCATCACAGAAGAGCTGAGCTAATATGCGAAGGAGGCAGTTGTGTCTCTTTTTGTTTCATTTTCTAGACACACAAGAATCAGGGTTCATAAAGAACATCGTCTGCATGTGGGGAGGGTTTTGTGCAGGGCTGTGTCCAACAGTTGTGTGAATCAGAAACAGACAAAGCTCGTGCATGAACGTGTGCCAACGTGCGACAATCACTGGCCTTTTGCGTTGACATATTGTGATTTTTCTGTCACTTTCACAACAGGAAGGAAAAACAGCCTGACTGCACACAGTGATGAATTAGCTTTTCCTATTGCGGATGATCCGATTTTTCCTTATTCATTTAGCTACGAACACCTACTCTGACTTGAAATCCCTCATAAATCCTGTTACAGTTGTCCCCCGTCCGTGTTTATGGAAGGACTCCCCTCTGGGGTTTGAGGTGGTTTCAGTGTGGAGGGGGAGTAAGGTTGAAGGGTGATTTTATTTATTCATTTTTGAAAGCTATGAAGCGTATGAAGATGGAAATGGGATTGATTACCTCACCGTGCCCTTATAAACACTATTATCGAGATGGAAGGAATGAAAGTCTGCTAGCTGAAGAGATTTTTATAAAAGGAACAAAATAAAAATAGAAACACTGCAGGGTGGAGCTGTGCAAGTAATTTCTGCGCAATCCATCAGAAAAACCATAAAATGACCAAAACAAAGGTTATTATTAAAACTTATTTTGTCACATTCCAAATCTTACTCACAGGCCTCACATGTTCTCTCGACCACGGTTAAGAGGAAGTTTAGAACGAGCCAACGGGTTACGGTTAGGATGGTGATGAAGGGAAGGCTAAATAGCAAGAGGTTAAAGGTTAAATGTCAGTGAAATGTGTGTTCCGATGCCTGCGGTAAAACGCGCATTTTTACCCTGAAAGCATTTTTCGACGCGTCGGGTGTGAGAACGTGTTGGCCAGGGCTGCGCGGAATCTGAATTATTTACACATCATTTTCACCAGCTGTCTCTCCTTAAACAGTGAATTTCCTCCAACAGGCTCACTACTATCACTCCTGGGGCACTGGAAAAAGTACCCTTGAGCTGCAGCTAAACACCCAATCAGATTAGGTTGTTAGGGAGAACTGGAGAATTTTCGGCCAATCAGCCTCACTGAATTTATTGTCTCTGGGGTGTAGGCGCCCCGCGGACTGACTGCCTATTGGGGCTGCCGTTGTGGCCATCCGCCGTCTTCGGTGGGTTTCCTTTCAACTGCATTTTTACTGATGAAGGTGGGGCGACCGTGGCACAGGAGTTAAGTACTCGCCCCATAATTGGAAGGTTGCAGGTTCGAGCCCCACTCAGTTTGTCACTGTCGTTGTGTCCATGGGCAAGACACTTAGCCCCTCTTGCCTGCTGGTGGTGGTCGTGGGGACCGGTGGCACCTGTGCTCGGCAGCCTTGCCTCCCTCAGTGCGCCCCAGGGCAGCTGTAGCTACATCGTAGCTCTTCTCCACCAGCATGTGAATAGGTGAATGGCTCATTGTGTTGTAAAGCGCCTTGGGGGTTCCAGGACTCTAGAAGACACTATATCAAATACATGCCATTTATCATTTACCCAACTAAAAAACACATTTTATCAAGCTTTTTCATAAAATCAAACACATTGTATGGAATGAAAATTAAAATATAAATGTAATTAAACAAAATAAATCAGTGCTCCGGCCTACATACTGGATATTGCTGCCCAGCTCAGTGATTATGTTAATGATCATGCCTTGCTTTCTGTGCAAACACATCAAATAATTGATATGTTTGTTGATGTGAATGCACAGAAGAAAACGGGAGTTTAGCAGCTGAGGGGCTGTTTCTACATCATTTGTAAACCTCTTTCGTACAAGTTTGTAATCCTTTTCTCCACACACAAACAACCAGCTGTGTCACACTGACTGGTGCCTATCTCCAGCGGTCGATGGACAATCAGGCGGGGTACACCCTGGACAGAGAGCCAGTCCATTGCAGGGCAACACAGAGACACACAGGACAAACGATCACGCACACACACACACTCACTCACTCACTCACTCACTCACTCACTCACACATAAGGACAATTTAGACAGACCAATTAACCTAACAGTCATGTCTTTGGACTGTGGGAGGAAGCCGGAGTACCCGGAGAGAACCCACCCATGCACAGGGAGAACATGCAAACTCCATGCAGAAAGATCCCAGGCTGGGAAGCGAACCCAGGACCTTCTTGCTGCAAGGCAACAGCTCTAACCACTGCGCCACTGCGTAGCCACGTTTTGATTATTTCATCGTAAATTCCTGCCACAGCAGCGTGTCTGACAGAAACGGGACGAGCAGGATTAGACGTGTGCAGTGGATCTTATTTCCTAGAATATCTCACAGAGTTTAAACCTGTTGAAAGATTTTATATGA